CCAAGAAATTGCCATATCAAGTCAACTCACAGTAGCCCCTTCCAGGTGTTCAAAAAGGAAATGTGCATCTCTAACTCCCTCCACACTCTGCCCCGCCACTGCCCACCTCCCTCAGTTGATGGGAATGGCCCAGACTATGAACTGTTGGTTGGTTCTGAAAGCAAATCCTTCCAAGTGACTCCAGGATCCCAAGGCTTGGCCTTTTAGTACATTAGATTCACAGCAGTTCCTTGTCTTTTCCAGAACTATATTTTCAGCATTATAGCATTTTGTCATGCACTGGCATACATAGACAGACAGACAGACAGACAGACAGACAGGCATGGTTTGACAAAGAGCATGATTTAGAACTTATACTGGTTGAAATGATGCAGTGTTTTATTATACTCAAGAGATGTGAGAAGCTTAGCTTGAAAGATTGCAGGTGCTAGGGTGGGTCTGTATAAAACTCTTTTTTAGTTTTTGTATATAACTATTTAAACACTAGACCACTGAAGACAATGGGTCCAAAACACATTGTTCATCTCCATATAGGTAACTTCTGGTATAGAAGGGCATTATTGCACAATCCACTCATACTCTCTTTGTTTATCTGTGTTCATATGTGTGTCAATTGTGAGAGAAAACAACTTCGTCCACTTTCTAAAATTAGCTATCTTCACCAGTTTGTTCATTTCAACTGCTGAAGTTCCCAAATGTAACTATGTTTGGTGTACCGCAATCCCCAATCAAACAAGGCTCTTTAACCACATTGAGCTGAATAGCATTACTATTTTGCTGCACACTTGCCTGTCACCAGGGAAAGGATGGGATGGAGGAAATGGGGCTGGCCAGAGCATGTATCCTAATCATCTTCTCTCCACACTTCTGCAGAGTAGAAGGTTTCTTCCAAACAATTGCCTGCTTACCAGCTGGAAACTGAATCAAGACCTTTGAGTTCATACACATTATCTTGAATTGCCCCAGAATTTTCCTCACTATGATATAAACATTTTTTCAGTGAGACACACAAGCCATGGGCTTCCAGACACCCCACTCCCCTGTCTTGGGTAAAGTGATGAAATACTTGGTGTTTGCGAAGGAAAAAGAGATGAGCTACCCAGCAACCAAAGGGAAGAGCATGTACCTCTGGGCTTAACTTTTATATAAGATTCTACAGAGGCGCACACCTGTCTAGCGTCAACATACAACCCTCACAAAACTGGCAGACTTTTCTTTTGATGCTAGATGAGAACTGCCTGAAGGGTGCCCTGCTTTGCACATGTGCAGAGTCACACCAGTTTCTACACCTATTATAATGTCTGCTTCAATGTCAAGTTCCCTATGGCCATTAGGCAGGGGCCTTTCTCTTCATGGCCCTGGCACCTCTCAACATGTTTAATGGCCTGTCTGGATTAAAACAGCGGCGCCACTTGTTAAAAAAGAAAGATCCTATTGAAACCAGCATCATCATCTGACTTTGCCCAGGGCCCTTGAAACAAAGCCCTACCAGTTCTCACTACTACAGCTCCATAGCTTCTCCTAGTCAGACTGCAGGATGTTTTCAAAAGTCTCTGGGATGCTGAACTTCTCAGAATTCCACAGAAATACTTTGTCTGAATATGAACTGAGAATGGGACTGACCCCTGCTAAATAACCCAACCACATCTGACCCCATGGGAAAGACAGATGGTAGCTCAGCAGTGGGGCACCCACTCTAAGTGCAAAATATCTCAGGTCCAACCCCTGGCATCTTCAGGTTTTCATTTGATCATTCATTCTGTCTATACCCCTTCTTTCAAGAAACCCACAGTGGCTTACATAATCCCCCTCTTGAGAGTCAGTGACTGGCTGAAAGCCACACAAGGAGCTTCCTGGTGGAGTGGGGACTAGAAACTCGATCTCTGAAGTCCCAGTTCAGCACTAAGCATTCTACTGCATTGGCTCAGGTAAGGCTGGAAAAGACTACTGCCTCAAACCCTGGGGAATGGCTGGCTTTGGAAGGCCCCAGGAGCAGCAGAGGGCACACCACCCCAAGGGTGCAGCCACTTCCAGTTTGCAGAGTATCTAAGAAGGTCAAGTGCAGTCCAAGGCCCTGCAGGTGCTGTAAGGTGGATAAATGAAGCACGAAACAAGAGGGAGTGCTCTGGATCCATTTTCTATCACTGCATTTCAATATGGTGTTCGGTGGGTGGTGTTGGCAAGGAAAAGGAAGTCCTCCTCTATCTGTGGAAGTTCTCCACATGAACCAGGGTGATTTTCTAGCATTCCAGCTAGAAAGCCTGCCTAGATATAGGTTTTCATCTTCCACAGGTAGAAGGTGATGAATCATGATGAAGGCAAGGGAGAGGGTTAAAGCTGTCCTTTGATTTGATTTGTTTGATTGATTCCTCCAGGCATGGCATCAAACTTATCCACAGCGTGCCAGGATAAGGCTTCAGGGAATTCTCAGTTTCAGGGTGGGGGAGGCAACAGGTGTGCCATGCTTAAACTCCCCCATCTACAGTCCTGGAGCCAGCACTGCCCTGGAGGAGCTCTGCCACTAAATGCATTTAGACAATGGACGGATTGTCTGACTTGACACATGAAGGCAGTTCCATACGTGACTATGGCACTCTTTCAGCTCCCAGGAATGCATTCCTGCATCCACCTTGTGACTGTCCCTTACAATCAGAGGTCACACTCCCTGCTGTCATGACAAATATATTGCAGGCATGGTCAAACATGCTCTTTCAAGGTCCCCCTGCCCAGCACAAAGGGATTCTCTTTCACCAAGTTTATTCCAACAGAAGGCAGCAAAACCGACTTTGCTGTCTCATCTCTGGTGTTCTGCTGCTACCTGGTGGCCAAGGCTTTGGACTGCAATAGCAGGATAGTTTTGACTGAAAAATCCATACCCAAGCTCACAAGGAATTACAGTGGGGATGCCAGGCTACACACTGGCAGCCCTTGGCTCCTGAGCATTCAATATTGCCCTCTAATAATTGTTGTTGCTGCTTTCCTTTGGGCAGAGAACATTCCTAAATGTTTACTGAGAAGTCCTATTGAGTTTGATGGGACTTACTCTCAGGTTGGTATATAATTCTAGTCGTAATCAATAATAAGATGGTCAGATGACAGTCCTCTATTTCAAGGACTGCCAGAAGATAGTCCTATATTTGCAGAGCTGTCCAGTCCAAGCTCTGTTTCAGAGCAGAGACAGGGTTCACACAGTATGATAAGCCATGATGGTTTATAAGTCTGGGGTTGTCTGAACGCAGCATCATGGTTTTTTAACCACACTGGCTAAGTACAGGCAATATGGCAAGCTCTCTTAGCCCATTAGGATGTAGAAACTGGACAACAGAATGAGTAGGGACACAGGTCACTTTGTCCTCTGGGGTGAGGTGTTCCCATAATTAAATTATTCAATTATATGCTTAACATAATTACAGAAATTATATTGTCCACCCCCATGCCTTCTGCAGTGGACAGAGGGTGAGGAAATGATCTTCCAGTCAAGCACAGGATAAAAAATCAGGGCGTGGAGAAGAACCTACATACCTGCCCTTGTTGCACAAGCCAGTTTCTTACAGACAAGGCAAATGGTTTGCAGTATCCATTCTTCTTGCTGTCACAAAAGTGATTTCCAGCTGCTGCAACACCTACTTCCTGATAAGGACACATGGGTTTTATTCAGTGCATTCCATCAGTGTTTCACAGACTGACACATTCTTTCATTCTGCCTATTGATAGAACTGGAGTTTCAAATTTTATTGCATTTGTGTGAGCACATCCACTTGTTCTCATGCATGTAGTACAAATCCTCCCCAGAACTGTAAAACTGCTCCTCAGGTCTGTGGAAACCACAAGAGTCGGAATAAGCCAGTGTTCTGCAGAACCCACAGGCAGAATTCTGAGAAATCTACATTCACCTGAATCCACTGAAGATTTTTCCAGCATTTCTACTACTCCCAGCCCTTGGCCAGGAAGAGGGCTGCCAATGTAAAAATAAAAGTGATGCTTTTGGCAGTACAAACACTCATGACCATCAGTGCCAAAGACTTTCAGTAGAGGGATACAGCAAAGGTCAGGGTCAGCCTAAGACATTTTGCTGCCTGAGGCAAAGAATAGGACCTCTCTCTCCATCTTCACAGACAAAAACAGACTGGATTGTTAGTTAGATCTTATTTAAACGCTGGCAAGGGGTGAGCATCCCCTGGCACGCTTAAGAGCAGCAGGCTAGTTAGCTTAGACAGCGAAGGGAAGAAGACAGATGGTACAGATCAGACCAACAGTTTTTAAAATGTTCCCTGGATTGGTCCAGGAATGTGAGCCCTTATAAAGACTGTGCAAATGGCCACACTAGTGCTTTCTTTGGAGAAGCTTGGCCATCAACATCGCTCAAGTGCTGAAGGGATTTTTAACAGACACATTGAATTTGACTAGCTGCTGGTAATTAACTGGGTTCTGCTAAAACTGTTCTACCGACCCATTCACAGATATATCCCTGTTAGCATATCCAAACGCTCATCATCCACCAAAGAACAGCACATGTAGAATTATACCACCAACAACACTCATTATCCCCTGAAGAGGGCACTGTTGCTCCTCATAAACCCATGCGATGCTGCACCTAGCCTATGTAACTAGCATGCTGCTTCCAGTTCCTGGAGTGATGCACTTTCTTGACCCCAGTTTCTTTGCCCATGGGGATTCTCACCCTAACTAGAAGAGAGCAACCTCTGATTTCCTTGCACCCTCTCCTGCACAAGAATGTTACCTAAGCCCCAAAGATGTGTGCGATGTGGTCTGCTATTGCTGCTGCTGGGTGAGTGGGGATAATGGAAATTTGTGAAGTGCCACTTGGAAGAGGTGATGCTCCTAGCCCCATAGACCACCCTGAACCTTCTCACCAGACTATGGGCTAGCTAGAAGCCTTGGACCCTGGGATGCAAGGAAAAACGTGTGTGAAAGGAAGTCACCGGTGTCGTATCTGGCCAACTGAAACCATGGACTCTCCTAGTGAAACAGCTACTTACTCTGGGTCACCTGATGCTTCAGGACATGATCAGAAGTGATAGCAGCACGATCCAACCTGGGTCCTTTTGGTTCCAGTAAAGTGGGGATGCCCCTCACAGTCGGCTTTTCACTGGCCGTCAAAGACATGTTTATAATTAGGCAGGCTTACAGCATATAAGCTGGTCTGCTGGTGGTCTGTGTTTGTGTGTGTGTGTGTGTGTGTGTGTGTGTGTGTGTGTGTGTGTTGAGGGTATTAATTGTTTGGTGCTGTTTATTGCTTTTATTGTTGTGCTTTTCAAATCATGTGGGTATTTTATTTTATTTTATTTTATTTTACATACTATGTTTTAATTGAGAGTGTATTTTTATTGTTAGCTAGCTTGAGAATTTTTGGCTCTCCGGGATAAAAAATTTATAAAATATAAATGCTGGGATATAAATTAGGCAAACAAAACTGTGGGAAGAAAAGTGAGAGGGTTACAAGTGAAAGACTACATTGTCTCCAGAGTACAGATGTACGAGTCTTGTAAAATCTATTTTGTCTGTGTTACATGGATTGATAAATGCCTTTGATTTCATGGTTTGTTCATTGACAGAAGTGTTTTTTGTGCAAGTGCATTTGCACACATTTGCACAAATTCACACCCTGCAAATTGTGCAAATTCTCTATCCAAATATGCAAAACTCTGAAAAGTGTATATTTTCATGCTTTAGCCTATAGGGGAAATCTACCTTTGTGGTCACCTTTTTTGCTTTGCTTTGACTGAATTTGTGTTATAATATAGTATTTAAAAAAAATTAAATGGTGCACAAGTCTTTGGATCCATTTAGTTCAGGAAAGGTCAGACTCCTGAGGAATCCATGGGTAAGCATCTTAGAAACTTGAACTAATTTGAGTCCACTGCAGATTTTTCCTACATCCCTCCTCTGGACCACTGTAAAATTCAATGAATATGGCAAGATGGCAAAAGCTTAATCTAGAAGCTCCCTAAAATGGAAGCTAGATGCAGCTGCAGGCTGTTACTTGGAACACCAGACATCATCAGTGGTCTGTATCAAATTCCTAGAAGTCCAGCAATTACTCAAAGATGCAAGGTTCTGCACACATTTATCTGTAGTTTCTGCAAGCATTCCCTTAACCTGAAGTTAGTATATACTTCTCGGATATGAATATTGTTGGATTCCAGAGAATTACAGTACAGGAAGCGTGTCTAACCTCCACCAACTCTGGCCCTCCTCGGATCCTAAAATGGCTCTGCAGGGATTCCCAAAGAGCCATCCACAGGTCATGTGGTAGTCCCCACTTCCCCAGCACAGCCATTCATCATTTAATGGTTTCCCAGATTTGTGCCCCCCCACCACCACAAAAGGTTGAAACACTTTGCCTAGGGCTAGGTTAAAAGTACGAACTTGAAGCTAAAACAAGCTGGCATGTTTTCAGTGTCTACAATCTGCACTTGGAGATGCTGTTTTTGAAGGTATTTACCAATGGGTGCAGCAGTCTCACCTATAGCAGTGACAAGAAGGAAAACAAATAGCATTCATCTGTGTGTAGATCTCAGAGAGCCAAGTTAAAGCTTTGCTGGTTCATGGCCAATGTTGGGAGGCACATGGCCATGAACCAGCAAAGAGTACTGGGAAGCAAGAGTACTTGGAAGCAAGAGTACTTTCTACTTGAGTGCACACCATCAGGTTAGGTTCCATGAAGATAGCGGGGACCTCATGGCATTTATTTCACACAATGGATTATTCCATATAGGGCACATCTCCAATAGACTTGCATCAGCACCTCAAACCTTTCAAAACAATGTCAATAATTCTTAAGAAGCAGAAGGGTCCAATACTATCTGGATGATACTGTGGGGATACTCCTGAGGAATATGAAAGCAACTTTCAGTCCATGTTAGACTGCCTGTGTGCAGCACAGCCTGAGGCTTAATTTAGATAAATGCCAATTTAGACAGACGGAGTGTTCCTTCCTGGGACATACAGTTTCCACACAGATTGAAATCTGACCCCAGTCATGTGTTGGCAATTCAAGAGGCAGTTTTTTCCAAGTGATGTACAAACCTCACATTCCTGTTTCGAATGTATTTCTTGGTATGCAAAATTTATCCCAAACTATGCATCACTTGTTGAGCTTATCTGGAATCTATTATGAGGAACATCACATTTTATTTAGGCAGCAACTTTATTTTATTTATTTTTTATTTTGATTTATATCCTGCCTTTTTTCCTCAAAGGACTCAAGGCAGCTTACATCATTCTCTTCCTCCATCTTATCCCCACAACAACAACCTTGTGAGGTAGGTTGGACTGAGAGTCTGTGACTGGCCCAAAGTCACCCAGTTGGCTCCATGGCTGAGCAGGAACTAGAACTCAGATCCTCTGAGTCCCAGTCCCAGTCTTAACCACTACACCACACTGGCTTTATGAGTTTGTTTTGAGAAGGTGAAAGGGTCAACTGCTTATAGTCCTTTGTTAGCACTGTTTAATCCTGTATTGCCTATAATTGTGACAATTGAGACTTCTGTTTATGGACTGGGAGCTTAAGAAAACTGCTGTATTTGCATCCAGAACATTTATCAAGGCTGAAGAGAAATATTCAGCTATAGGTAAAGAAGTCCTTGCTTGCATTTGGGCTACTGAACAGGGGAGGAAGTATTTATGGTCAAATATTTAGATTACATTCTGATAGTAGGCCTTTGCCCACATGGTTAACTAGAAAGGGAATGAGACAAGTACAAAATCATATTACTAGATGGTCAGCAAAATTGCTACATGAAATGAAGTACAAACCAGAGGCTCAAAATGTGACAGAGCCTCACCTGCCTTTGCCATCATGGAGAATTCACTGGAAGCCAATGACCAAGTAGATGCTAGCATTGCTAGTATGCCTACTGCCATTGCACAAAAAGCACTTCCCAGCTGCAGGTTTGGCAAGTCCAATCCAGCAAAAGTTACAGGAATGTTTGACAGGGAGCAGGGCTAAAAAAATAAGGAAAGCTTGAGCGTGTACTATTGACAAACTCTCTTTGCAACCTGGAGCACATCAGACCCTTGTGCCAGAGGAACAGTGGCCTATCTTTCAGCCGATACATTATACAGTTGGCACATGATACACTTCATGAGATGGTTCGAACTAAAAAGAGGTTAAGAGACCTACATTGGCTGCCAAGAATGGGCTCCCAAGTAGGAGTAGATGTATAGTGCCCTGTGGAAGCTACGTGGTAAGACAGCAGTAATAAATGCACCACCCATTATGGTCAGATTTGAATGTAGCTTTGCAGTTAGAGTTGGGGAATCAGTGACAACAGAGATTCCATCATATCTCCTCATCAAGATAATGAAAGACAAGGACCTTATACATTGTGGAATGCTTCTCCTTTTGCTCCATTACACAGCAGAAATAATGTAGATACTTATGTGTTAGAGTACTTTCCTTTTTCAGTCACACTAGAGACTATGCTCAGACTGACAGAGAGATGAACAAGTGGGTCCCAGATCAAATCAAATTGGAATTTGTCCTGGAGGCAAAAATAATGAAACCGAGGCTTTCATACTTCAGCACATCATGAAAATGCAAGACTCACTGGAGAAGACAATCATGCTGGGGAAAGTTGAAGGCAATGAGAAAGTTGGAGATGAGGAAGACCAGCAATGCGATGGATAGATTCCATAAAGGAAGGCACAGCTTGGAGTTAGCAAGTGCTGAGCAGGGCTGTGAAGGACAGAGCATTGCGGAGGGCATTTGTTCATAGGATGGCCATAAGACAGAGAAGACTTGATGACAGATAACAACAGCAAGAGTCTGTGTCAACAGCTAGGCCTAGCAAATCAAAACTTGAAGCTGAAAGACATCCTGTCTATGTCAGATGGCTACCTTCTGAAACTGACAGTTATGTTATATAGTCTGGGATTCTGGAGGTTTCTTATGAGGGAAAGAAAAGTAGTGATCTTGTAGGCTTTCCACTTATAAGAAATGGGATTATACTCAGCTGAAGGAAGGAAACCAATAAAGGCAAACAGAAAGTAGAGATGGAGTCTGCTCAGTTTTAACAACAGCTAATTCTGCTACATTTGTTTTTATCACCCTCTGTTTTTAAATAAAACATTTGTGTTCTACACTGCCTTTGTTACAGGATACAGTGCTAGAGTTGTTTCTTTTTTGAAGTGTCTCTCAAAGCAGATTTTCCAGTATCAGAGGCAGTGTGGAACATGGATGGGAGAGGGCTATGCACCCATGTCCTGCTTCTGAGTTGGCACTGTGTGAGCAGAATCCTGGACCAGGTGGGTGCTTCGTCGAATCACGTTGCTTCTTCTTACATTCTTATTTTCAAAAGTGAAACAATAAGTCCTAGACCACTGCTGGTCCAAATCAAGTGTTATAAGTCCTGTTGTGAGTCCCTTACACTTCTGCTATTGTATCCAAACTAGGGAAGGTCTGAGCATTGAAAGAGGCACATGTGCTGTGTTGATCACAGCAGACTCTGAGCAAAGGGCCAACTCAGGGGCAAGGTAATGGAGAAGGCAATGCCTGGGCACATGGGTGTCAGGACAATGGGATTCAGGCTGAAACCCAGACAAGCAATGGGATACATGGGGTCAGGCTAAGGCAGAAGTGTTGAGATAGTCAGCAGAGGTCAGAAGATCATTAGGAAGTCCTTCACATCATATTGTCCTGTAGCAAAGTCAAGGAATCCAAAGCTTCCTAGTCCACAGAGCAAGGTCCAGTAAGCAAGGCAAGAATAGGTAGAGCTAGAAGAATAGAATCATCTGCAGCACTAACTGTGCAGGCGCTGAAGGCTTTTAGCAGAGCCTGCTGAACCTCACCCAGGGCTCAGCTGCAGTATAATTAGTGTGGTCCAGTTCCCATGAGGAGCCTCTTTGTTGAAGTCTGAGTTGGGCATGCCTTCTCTGCTTCTGCTACTCCATGGGGCATGTGCAGTGCTCAGTCTCCACCTCTGCAGCAGAATTCCATCTGGGATCTCAGGAGTCTCTCCTATGGGCTCCAGCCCCTCTTGAATTGGGGCTTCTGGCAGGAACTGGGCATCCACCCCCAAGGGACCTCTAACACATTCTCATAGGAGGAGGATCGCAATGACAGCATGATTGCAAGCTTCTGAAACTGAACATGCTCCCAGAAT